GGGGTGAATAGGGACAAATCTGAACTTTATAAAGAAAGTTAAGGCGTTTTTTTATAGAAAATTTGCTGTAAGGCGATTGTAATAATTGAGTCGTGATGGTATCTTTGTGATTAAACATAAATTATGCAATTAGCATTTCAGTTTATGCATAAAAAAGCTAAAATATAGCCTATCCCTATTCACCCAGAAATTGGGGTCAATCGGGACGAAAATAAAGCCAATAGGGAAATTCTCTAGGGCTGCCACTTGTGTAGGTACCTACCTAATAAATTATAATTTCTAGCTAACTACCATTTTTTTTGTATTTTAATTTATTCTACATTATTACTTATTGCCCCTATGTAATTCTTACATAACACTAGTTTCTGATTATTTAATAGCTATTTAGTCACTGAAATAAAATCCACTTTTACTTCCATTATTTATTTAATCAACAAACCTTTTGCAAATTATTCATTAATGATCATGGTATACACGCGAGGCATATCTGATAAAATAAATTTACATTATTGTATATAAAAATTTCTACTCAATATATCAACACTAAAATAAACTTTCGGCTCCGCCCAGAGCAGGAGGTGTCATATAATAATTTCCCATCCCAAAAAAAATAATGTACCTACGTATTAAATGTGACAGCCAGTGTTCGTCAGTAATGTTGTCAGCCCAAGAAATAGGGGACAAGTCTACTAAGATACACCGGACACAATTTCGGTCTCCGTAAAATATTTCAAAATTCCAACAAAATTTGGGTCGACTCGGGAACCGATCCTGAGACTTCATGGTCAGCAGTTGCACTTGCAATAACTAGATTAACCCTTAGAGCGCCACGTCAGTCACCGGTGCCTGACGCTAGTCGACGCAGTGCAATACCTCGCTAATTTATGAAATAAAAAATTATTATTACCTAGATTACACAATTTAAAAATGTTAAGTCTGCTTAGTGACAACCCTATAAAGCTGTACCTATTCATACATAAGTCGTTCCTATTCATCCCATCCTCATCCCGATTAACCCCCCTTTCGTTGTGATTCATACCTGAGACGTCCCCATTCACCCCAAAAAATACAAATTTCGCATGCCATTCTAAAAATCTAAATTATAGTCATATTAATTAATAACTGATGCTTAACTTTCGTGGATATGACGGCCCAAACCCTAAATAAGGTATAAAACTAACACTCGTATTCGCTTAATACAAAATAACCTTTACACAGCTAAGTTTTATACACTGTAATAACCGGTATCTTGTCTATACTATTTTCAATTGAAATTTTTGATAGTTTGCAGCTGATTTTACACTTGTTCAATGTTGCCATAGAAAAGTTCCAATAATCTACTATTATCCCTCAAAAAATGGTAAAAGTTGGAACGATTTGCAAACTAGCATTTAGAGTTAAAAATGATACCTGGTTTTTTCCCTATTCACCCCTGGATCCCTATTCACCCCATTTTACGGTACCTATAGCCTATTCTCCCTGCGTGGGCTGAGCACCACCGTGCCCTCAGGGAAGTAATCGGCGATGGCGACCTCTCGCGTCCGGGCCTAGTGCAGGCCATGATGCGGAGCGAGGGGAACTGGGATGCCGTCTCCTCCTTTTGCGAAACAGTCATGCTAGTTAAGGAGGAGGCGGGACGCGTGAGGCAGCGAAGCGCTGCCTCCTCGCAACCCAGCCATCGCGAAGGACACACCGGACGTCGGGGATCGCGGGACGATCTCCGGCCACTGTAAGCGCGGGCCTGCGGAAGGCGAGCATGGGTGGCTCCCCGTCCGACCAGAAACAGACCCGGGCGTACGGCGCGTCGCGTTCCGCGCGCACCTCAAAGAGCCATCAGACCACCACAGATAGGGCCCAACAGGGCCGATGCCGATTCGGAGTCGCGGAGAACCTAACGGGTAACCGGGGCTCCGGCTCGACGTGCAGGAGAAGGAACGGGGTGGTTTGTAGTCAGTAAGAGTCTGACATTCCCTCCCGCCTCACCCAGACCAAACGAAACCAATTTTCCAAAGGTGTCGTTTCGAGTACTATACTGAATTGCGTGTTGTAATACTTTACTTCTTGAACTCACTAAATTAATCATATCTTCTGATAGAGTGAACCGATTTCGATGAAACAAAAACTAAGTTATACCTCAAATTTGCGTAGAATTTTTGTATATAAGCAATGGCTGCATTGAATTCGTAGATTTCACGGTCTCACAAAAAACCAACGTTAAACAACGCTTGCGTTGTATTTCATCGTGTGACTCTTCCCCCGAATCTCTCTAATCCCCGAATCCCCAACAACCCTCAAATTCCTAATCTTCAAATGGCCGGTAACGCACTTGTAACACCTCTGGTGTTCCAAGTGTCCATGGGCTGTGCCGATGGCTTACCATCAGGTGATTCGCTCTGCTCTGCTCTACCGGCGGCATGATCCATAAAAAAATGCGTGCAAATTCTCAGTACGATCGTCTTTAAATTGACAAAGTTTTATACGAACTTACATCTCCTATTATAAAATAGGAGATGTAAGTCAAGGTCACTTTGACCAAAATTGTTTCTTAGCAGATACCTAGGTCAAAAAACATCCACCGGCATGCCGAATTTCAAACCGATCTGTCCAGTGTTTTGGGCTGTGTGTTGATAGATCAATATGGCAGTCAGTCAACTAATCTTTGAGTTATTTATATATTATAACTAGGTGACCCGGCAAAATTCGTACCGCCTAAAAATATTTTTCTCACCTTTTAATCCTTTCCTGCACTTCCACGAACATTTCAAGACCAAAATTAGCCAAATCGGTTCAGCCGTTCTCAAGTTTTAGCGAGACTAACGAACGGCAATTCATTTTTATTTATATAGTGTGACTGTCCGTCAGGTACCCCTAAAAATATAAACAAAAGGCATCCCAATGTTTTAGAGTATTGACTTTCCAATGAACCACGTGTTAAGTCATTCATTTTATATTTTATGGGAGCCCGTCTACAAATAACTAATGGGCAATTGAGTTGTAACTTGTTAAATGATCTTTAAGAATACGTGGAGCCGTTAGGCGCACAACACAATACCAAACGCCACATCTGGTTGCAATAATACTGACCTACGAAAGGTCCCTAGAAACAATTAAGATATTGCACAAAGGGTGTCATAAAACCCGGACTGCAGGGGCCTGGGAAAGGGCCTTTGGCGAGGAGATGTTACAAATGTTATGGAGACGACAGGACACTTACTCTAGGACTGCGGAGACGGAAGGTTGTCTAGGATAGACTAGAACTAATCCTTAGAACTTGGCAACACAAAGTAAATTCAGTGTGTAGTGTGGAAGTCTGGTGAGTAGCAGCGTGAAAGCAGTGAACGGGTATGTGATTGTGGTTTTATTATAGGCTAGGGTTTTTATCCTATCTCTGTCTTTATTCCTTTTAACTGAATCGGAATATTACTTTCCACTGTATCAGCTTGTTGTATGCGCACTCCCGGGTTGTGCTTGAAATAAGCTATGCTTAGGCTAGTCCGTGAAGGACGGTAGGGTGAATATATAAGTGCCTCGTCTTAACCTAACAACGCCGTAATGGCCATGCTATATCTAATCTCTTCGACGACATATATTATGGTGAGCGAGACACTCGTTTAGAAATGGGGGATTGGGTTGAGGAGGTACATACGCAAGACCATCAGTTGTTGGTATTATTCCTTTGCATGTCCGGAGTGTGCTCCTGTGAGTGCACTGCCTTCCCTTTCCCTTTGCTGCCCTCTTATTCCACTAGTAATGTAAATAATTAAGAATATATCCTTTCCCCGTGAATTCCCGCTTGATCCTTTGTACTTGCTTTTAATAATATAGATAACATAATGAATAAATTAATAAAACAAGTTATGTTATTTATTGGGAATTCATTACCCATCCCGTGAAATTGGTGGGAGAGTGACCAGTAGATGGACGAGCTCTACAGAGCTGGGCGGAGGTGGAGCCCAGTTCCTTGCCCATTTCCCACGAAAGGGTAAGCCGATGTTAACCCCTCTTTGATTTAGGAAAACCTAAAATTTTATCCAGCCTAGGGTCGGCTAGAAACAGTCACAATAGATTTAGATAAACAATTTTGATAATACAATCAAAGATGCATTTACAGCATTAGAGCACAGCAGTCATGCTTCATACAGTCATTTGATACAGCTCTAACTTTGCGGTATCAAATGTTAGTTACAGGATATAGCGGTTTCTCGCTGGTTAGACTCCCACAGATCTATAAGGATTCCCAACATGATATTAAAAAAGATTACGTTAAAAAATTCATTTATTAATAATATTGTTTAATAATTAAGCAAAAAATAAATATTTGTAATACACTTTGATTTAGTTAAAGATTTTGAAACATTGTATGATTACAAACACGAGTGCTACAGAAGTTCCGAGTTGTGATGTGGATGCCGCTCCCGTGACAACTCGATTCACCCATGATGCGAATGGGAAGACTTGAGTATACACTTCTGGGGCGCCTAAATTAACCCAACAATTGTTGCTTCTAGTGAGTAAGCCCTCGAGAACCGGAGTGCTCTGTGGGTTGCACACTAATGGGTTTCCTATATCACCCCAACATAAATAAAAATGTTTGAAGCTGTGGGACAGTTCAATTTTGTTAGGGTCATTTTTTATGAAAAACACCCACCGATCGAAAGAGAAAAAAATTCCAAGAGAAAAGATATAAGTATTATTATTTTTATCAAAATGGTTCATAAGACTTTTCTATCCAAAGGTATTGATGTATAAACAGATAATTACAGACGCATGTATATTATAGACGCATAGAAGGGGTTAGCTGTTCTAACTTGACAGGATCAATTGCTAGTTAGAGAAGCAATATAGCGGTTTCCTGCTAGAAGCGGAGCAGGAACACCGTGGTCTATAAGGATTCCCAACATGATATTAAAAAAGATTACTTTTAGAATTTCATTTATTAATAATATTATTTAAAATTACCTAAAAAAATATATTTATAATTGGTATATTTTGGCTTTGATTTAGTTAAAGATTTTGAAGTATTGGATGATTACAAACATGAGTGCTACAGAAGTTCCGAGTTGTGACGTAGATGCCGCTCCCGGAGCAGGTGTAGTAGTTGTAGAAGAAGCAGGTGTAGACGAAGAGGGTGTAGGAGAGAGTACTTCATTCACCCATGATGCGAATGGGAAGACTTGAGTATACACTTCTGGGACGCCTAGATTAACCCCACAATTGTTGCTTCTAGTGAGTAAGCCCTCGAGAACCGGAGTGCTCTGTGGGTTGCACACTAATGGGTTTCCTATATCACCCTGAAAATAAAGAGACGCAGTTAGCAATTGCTCGCCAGCTATTCCAGAGTGTTTTTTTTTCAGTCCTGTTATACATATTACTTGTAAAAAAGGCCAGTTAAATTACTAGCATCCACTACCGACTTTGTCCGCACTTCCGTGGCATAAAAACTAACTGTGTGTTATGTTAGACCATAATCTACCCCTGTACCAAATTTCATCTTGGACCCTTCAACCATTTTGACGTGAAGGATTAACAAACAAACATTCAAGCTCTCGCATCGTCTTATAGTTGTGTAATTTGTTGGCCATGTATAATTATTCCAAGTCAAGAACAATGAATCTTACCTCACATCCACCACCACCCGAAGTCCCGCAGACCATTGTTGGTACAATTGTCATCTGTGGCACTAGTGGGTTGCAGAGTTGACTTGCCAACACAGCCACTGATAATGTTGTCAATTGCGCACTTGCCTATAATAATAATAAACAGTTAGTCAAAGTGTTCCTATTTAATTTTTTTTATTTATTTATTTATAAACTAAGTACATACTAATTTTAATGTTATGGCTAAAGAAATACATCTAGACACTATTATTTTATACGATTCTATAGTGAACCTGAATATAATAACTTCTATTCATTTGCGCATACTAACTTTCTGTTTCAGATAAGATATCGATAACGATTTCCATTAATATTAGACGACTAAAAATTAAGGATCTGCACTGTACAGTATTGTAATGAAACTTACAGTGGCTGTTACATTATGACCTCCAAAACCGGTAGACTCACACGGCTGCATCAAAGGATAAGATAATGCAGCAGTCGGCATTGGCAAGGGGTTTATTGCTTCCGGGAAAGCAGCTTGTAACTGAAATGTGACATTGACGTTATAGTTACATAGTATATATTTTTGAACACAAATTGTAAAAAACAAAGAATATAAAATCATTTCTTACAGTAATAACAGCAATGTCGTTGACAAAAGTCTGCCTGTTATATTCCGGGTGGACAGTTATACTTGCTATGTCGCGAACGTTATCTGCATTATCATTTGTAAGAACTGTCCCAGCGAAAACTCTGAAGTTGGTTACGTTGATCAGCTGTCTGTAACAGTCACAATATTTCTTTTAGTAACCGACGAAAAGTTTCCGGAGGAAAACAATGTCTTAAGAAGTATCAATGTTCATTCGTTACTCGGACGAATAATTTAAAACATTATTCTTCTTTTACTTTGACGATGGCAAGAGACCGCATGCATTTATTTTCGGATGGGAGGGCTGCATAACGCATGCTACAAATTCATTCCTGCAGCAAAATAAAAAAATAAATATTTCTGCAGTAGCTAAAATAAAACTTACCCATTGTTATTGAGAACGCAAGAAGCAGCTGTCAATGCATTCTGTCGAGTAATTAATACACCTCCACATTTGTGACCTCTTTCGTAGGTTTGTGTTGATTGTTTCTCTTGTAGTGATATCTAGAAACAATATCATCAATTAGACACTGTTCTACTCACTTCTTTCCTCCTATTCATCTTAGCGTGATATTTTATAACATATGTAACATTTCCCCCAAAAAATATGGATTATCCAACACAAACATATTTTTTCAAATAGAACCAACCAGCGAGTTGTTCGCGTGAGTGAAAATAGTAAATAATAAAATAAGATAGTAATTAACACAACTAGGAATTTAGTGCAAGAATCAGAACTTTGTTATAAACAAAAGCATTGTCAAAATATACTTACCACATAATTAATGTTACTTCTGGATGTTCCTCCTATAATCCTGCTTGCTCCTTCAAGTGTGTATGCATTGACGCCTGGAAAACATTTTTTTTTTATTTGTCAAGAATATAATTACTATAAACAAATTTTTAAGTGTGGGAGAGCCATGCTTCGGCACGAATGGGCTGGCTCGACCGGAGTGATACCACGGCCTCACAAAGAACGGACGTGTAGCAACGCTTGCGTTGTTTCGTCGTGTGTGAACGCACTTGTAACGCCTCTGGTGTTCCAGGTGTCCATGGGCGACGCCGATTGCTTACCATCAGGTGATCCGTCGGCTCGTTTACCGGCTTATGCCATAAAAAAATAATGAAACATTGGAAATATTATTAAGAAAAGATGGTTTGGACCGGTAGAAGGATGTTGGAATTCTTCAACGTCCTTGATTTGGTCATATTAAAAGGATGGATATTAGGAGATTTACGAATGAGATGTAATTAGCGAACATATTCAGTTAATGCGCACTAGACGTACGTTGTTTTATTGAAAAGTTATTAAAATAGAAGCCCCTCAATCAACGAACGTACACGAAGAGATTGATGAATGTAGATGAAGCGAGAGAGCTATGCCAGGAACTTGTCATCAGTCTGATGTTCTATTGTCTCTACTTAACCCAATGGGAGACAGCCGTGGCCATATATGTATGTGAAAATATTGAACACGTATTTTTGTAACGTGGGTAAACTAAATCACGTTAGTAATTATTGGTGCATCATACAAAACACGTGTTAGTGTGTGGCCCACCCTTGTACTCAGAATTATAATATAACAATTAATTTATTTAACTATATATAAATATAAATCACTGTTTATGTCAACGCTTAATGTTTAGATTACACGAACACACACAATACTCATCGAAATAAGTTCGTATATTAAATATATATCTGTATAAGATTGCCACAGACTGAATAAAGATTAATACTCACTGTAAACAGCGATCACAAACAATAAAAATAATTTATTCATTTTGCTTTACGGTATTCTTTCACTACATAAGTTAAATAATGTACTGGTTTATTAATTGCACATATATATATATATATATATATTTTGGTATAATCTTATCAAGTATAGATAGGTTAAATGTAAAGTACTTTATCGTAGCTATCGATTAACGTTAGGTTAGAGGTTTTCTTATCTTTTTCCTCATAATCGGTACTTAATTTTAACTAAACTTAAATCGAATTCGCAGTTTCGAAAGGTATAATTGTGTCTTTTTCCGACTTAAATGTACTTCCCTACTTTATAAGACTATTGTTAAATGTGAGAACCAATATCGATACGAATGGGCCGGCTGATACCACGGCCTCACAGAAAACCGTGAAATAACGCTTGCGTTGTGTTTCGACGTATGAGTGACGTTGCCAGATGCCTAAATACCCTCCCCTCCTACCGAGTCTCTGAACCCCCAACACTCCTCAAATTCCTACTCCCTAAAAGGTCGGTAACCCACTTGTAACACCTCTGATGCTCCGAGTGTCCACAGACGACGCCGATTGCTTGCCATCAGGTGATCTGTTTCCTCGTTTACCGATTTATCCCATAAAATAGACTCCACTTAGGAATACGTCGTGAAGAAACCTATATGGAGGTATATTGAAGTTGTGTACCTGATATGAAAGGTATGAAATGTAAATGTTTTTTATAAAAATTGTACCAGTGACATAGTAAATTTTTATGCTAGAGAAGCATATTTCTAAGTCAAACTTGAAAAACGATTCATAATTCTATGAATTTGGGATCACTGTTTATAAAATAATGTTATGATTGGGATTATGATGATTGGAAAAAATAAATAAAAGAATAACGTAAGTTAGGTAATTAAGAAAACAAAATTAGGTTAGCATAACTATTCATTTCCTCCTGAGAAGGAACGGTGTGGTTTTAGTCAGTAAGAGTCTGACACTCCCTCCGGCCTCACTCAGGCGGGAGCAGTCATTCGATGACTTTCCCCCCTTAAAAAAAATCATTTCCTTATATCCCTTTGTTTGACAAAAATGATCGAAATAATGTGTTCTTTAACCCCATATGAGATTATTGGCCTTTGAAGAGTGGGGATTAAGCTTCTGGTTAATTCACTCACACGATGAAACATAACGGAAATGTTGATTTACGCGGCGTTTTCTGTGAATCACACGATCCAGCCGGTTTATTCATGCACGAAACATGACTTTTCCGCACGAGAACGTTGCAACGTGAAAAATTAATATTTTCGTATCATTTAACAAAATAATGATCAAAATACGAACATGGCCTGAAAGTTAAGGCTTTTCATGCATGGGGATGAGGGTTCCAAACCTGGCAAGTACTAATAACTTTTCTGAGTTATATATGTACTGCCTGAGATTATTAAGACACCACTGACCAACGGTGAAGAAAAGCACCGTAAGACCATTATGTGTCTTATAATTTCTTATTATAAGTTTGAAATCGCCAACTCGCATTGAGCAAGCGTGGTGAGTAATGCTCAAATCTTCTCGCGTGTGAGAAGAGGCCTATGCTCAGCAGGTACTTATAGGCTATTGATGTGATGATGAGCTTCAGCTCAGTAAGCAGAAAACATAATAATTAATTTAGTGTTAATATAAAGAATTCTTATCCGTATTTCTTTGTTTTGCGTCATTACTTTTCAGTTTATACCTAAGTAATTAAAGTGGGATTACTAATTGTTTGAACACGTTTTTTACTTTGAATAACTCGATGTAACTGATAAAATTTGTACATGTATTGTGTGATTGTATACCAAATAAAGTATGTATGTAGAATTGCCCTAGAAATGAATAACCAATCTTCTAAAATCGCTGAATTGACCTACATTTTTGTCAGAAATCTGATACAAGTAATTAATGCCAAGAATTGATATTAATCCAAAGACTTTGGATTGAGATCAATTCTCAAGATCCAAAGACTTTGGATTGAGATCAGTGATTAATCTCGGCCGTAAATGTGCTATTTAGACAACAGAGTACTCCGTCACATTATTGTTGGAGCTGGTACCTGGTAAATGTAGTTGTCAAATATAATCCTCTTTCAGAAGTTGGTTATAACTGGATGTGTAAATGCAAGGAGGTGGATCCCTCCCGGAATGTGTAAACTAGAGTTCACACGATATGTCGACGCAAGTAGTGCTCCTGTGGTGACACATGTAACAAATCAACGGATGACGTTACAAGAATCCTACATCACACATGCAAAGGTTACAAGCGAATAAACACGGATAGAAAATCCCAACGAACAACTGTTGGGCAGAAAGCCCGCCAGGCACGATCACCTTGCCTGGTCGGAGGATCCTCCTTTTCCGATATCAGGAAACTTTCCACTCTGTTCCCTAAACTCCAGTCACGGCTGAGGCAGTTAGGGGGTGCTCTGAAAACGAGGAAACACGGCATGCCACTGCCGCACCTAGTGGTAAGCGATGATACGACCCATCGTGAAGTATGCCTGAAAAGCAACTCAGGCCTTGAAGACCCCCAGATCCATCATCACCCCAGAAGTGTACTCTGAAAACGAGGAGATACTACCTACGACATGTCACTATGGCGCCTAGTGCTAGGCGATGATAACGTAGCCTGATAAGCAACTCGGGCCTTGAGGACCAGGTCGCAACCAGGATGCACAAGTTCTGGCATTTCATTCATGTCACATGAGTAATTTTGAAAGATGATCTCATCGGTTTATTTCCTCGATTAATGAAATTGTTATCAATATTTATCAAGATTTAAATTTTTAAGTGACGATAGTAGATAAGTAAGCCATCATTGTTATTTCTGAGTATTTCTTATTTTACCTAATTATTTTTTACTTTCCTGGATTCGAATTTCAGAACGTGTTTATGATCTCTTAAACATGGTATCAGGATTACTTTATAGAGTTACCTCTGATTTCTATTTATTCGATTTCTATTGGGCGCCGTCAACAGGGACTGGTCAGCTACAGACTATATTTTTTACTGTTTAAGTTTATTTTTTTACGATCTCTTTGATGGTATTTTAGTGTTACATTGTTCTCGCACAATCCAAACAACAAAACTAGAGAATTGGAGTTTCTTGCTCGTTCTTCTCCATAGGAATCTACACCTTGGAATGAGCAAATAACTTCACTTTTAATGTTTTTGTTGACGATCAAAAGTGCCTTTCTGGTCTAATTGAAATAAATGATTTTGACTTTGACTTTATCCGAAATCTCAAGATCGATTCTCAAGATCTTTATACAGGGTGTCCCTGAAGTCTACAATCATATGGCACTAGGTGATTGGCAAGTTCTGATGGTTATCAAAAAAGTGTAAAAAAATTCTAAGTCATATAGTTTTCAAATTACAATTACTTACATATGTGGAATCCACGAAAAAGTACAGCCAGTCTCGTCTGTATTACTGCTTACGTTATCCTGAACAGTACTCCAGTATTATGGAATCATAATTTCTGGGCCAACTGATCAACTAAATTTGAGGATTGTTGGGGATTCAGGGATTGGGGAAAGGGAGGAGGGGGGGCAGAACACAACGTTGTTTCACGTCGGTCTTCTATGAGGCCGTGGTATCACATTTATACCAAGACAAAATCATTTCACAGTGAATATATTTGTAACTCTTAAATAAGAAACTACTGGTCAGATTTGAATGATATTTAGTACAGAGATAGATCTTGACCTGGAAGAATACATTTTATCTCAGGAACGTGGGCGACACGCTAACAAAATCTATAATACTTACTATAGCGTTAAAAATATAATTATCTAGTCTTTAGTGGAGAATAGATACTCAATCGTCACGTACGTATAAAGCCACACCTTTGTGGAAAACAAGATAATTGTATGATAACATAATTTTATATTTATGTTCCGTTTTCACACAATGTGTTGTTATCAAAAATCAGATTAGTGTTCCTTTCTTGTTTAATCAACTTTAAGGTATTGTTGGAAAATGTATGAATGTCCAATTGTGTATTTGATCGATATAAAAATGAAATATTCAAAGAGTTGAAAATAAACTCTAACTATTTAATACTGTTAAAATTAAAATATTTGAAAGTGTTTATATTTAAAATATTTGAAACTGTTTAAATTGCATATATTTAAAACTGTTAAAATCAAAATATTTGAAACTGTGTAAATTTCATATATTTAAAACTGTTAAATATAAAATATTTGAAACAGTGTAAATTTCATATATTTAAAACTGTTAATATTTAATCATATATACATACATATATTTTTATATATACATACATATATGAAGGTGTAAATAACATAGCTATGAACTAAGAAAATAAGTATGGCATATTTTCATTAATATTTTTTTTAAAGAAAGAAAAACATTCATTTGGTAATTAATCAGCACAAAGATTAAAAAAATAAAAATACAGATACTTACATAAATGCAAAATATTAATAACAAACTTAATCGGCCTAAGAATTACCCCCTCCCCAATCTCCCCAAACCCCGAATACCAACCATCCTCAAATTCCTAATGTCCAAAAGACCGGTAACGCTTCTGGTGATATCCATTACCGGTGCCGATTGCTTACTATTAGGTGTTAATACGTCTGCTCCTTTACCGGCTTATTCTATAAAAAAAGGTGTACAGTACAAGGACACATCATCAACAGCCTATATGTGGCCACTGCTGACCAATGGCCTCTTCTCACACGAAGAAGGTTTGAATAATAATCACCACACTCTCGCTCAATCTCGATTAGCGATTTCAAACTTTTAATAAGATATTATAAGTCTAGGTTTCCTAACTATGTTTTTCCTTAGTACTAGTCATAGGTACCTATATATAGTGTTATGATACCACCCGATACCGGGGAAAAACAAAAATAATTAATTTTTACCAAAGCTATAATTTGAAAAAAAAATGTTAGTTGCTGTGGTAGGTACCTTTTTTTATGACAGGGTTTTTTTTTATTTTTATTTTTTTTTAAGGGGCAAAAATTATCGAATGACTGCTCCCGCCTGGGTGAGG